TTAACTGACTTACCCTCCTGAGGCTTGGGTGAAAAACCATATTCTCTTGGCCAAGAGCGTTCCAAACCTTTCACCATTACAGCCTCGCAAAGTCGGCTACACCTTGCTTTCTGTGATTTAGGTCGTTGTACCAAGAACGAGAGGTGCTCCCTTCCTCGCGCATCTGGGCAGCTCATGATAAGCCCGGCCTAGTGAAAACTTTTGTTGGCGATTTGAACTCGACTTGACGAACTTGAATGCTCGGGGTCAAAGTTCGCCGAACCTTTCGATCGACTGGGCTCATGGATGGACGTTGTTCCATCGTACCATTGATTGATTACAAAGCACCAACACTATTCAATTTTAATTTGAACATTATAACCTTCTTGTCCGTCGAAATGGCCCACCATTTTCGAAGCATTTCTCTACTTAGACTATTCATTCAATGCTCTTCAGTGAATTAATACACTATCGACAAATGCGCTTCCAAAATCAAATTTTATACAAAGTGTAATTCGTCGATTCAGCTTGCCTTTTGGAACTTCTGGGGCATCTCATTTGATATGAACGGATCCTCATGTTGTTTTTCTAATTTTATAGGGTTGTTTTCTTTATTTCGCCCTAAATGGATACGTTCTAGTGCTCACGTACTGGAATATTCTAGTTAATTATTTTTACAGTGGTCGGACTGCAAGGAAGAAAGCAAGAAATCGTCAAGGACAGGAAAAGATAGGAGATACGTACATAAATTATGTAAAAGAAGAAGAAGAAATCGGTATTTTGGCGCTAGTGGCGACTCCAGCCAACCTCACAGAGGACCACATAGCCAACCAGGGAGTGGACCACCCAACCACCCACGCGAAGCACTACATAGCCAGCCAGGAAGAGGACTACACGGCCGACACGCGAAGGACCACATAGTCATCGAAGCTGCACACCAACTATAGCCAACTACACAGAGGACACGACACAGAAAGGACCTCAGATCTCAACGGAGACGAGGATTTCACACTAAGCGCAGATTTGAAAATTATTTTTGCACATTTCACGTTTCTGCCCCCACTATAAACGTTCGACACGTCAATCGATTTTGGCGTTATATCCGTATAGCGGCAGAAGCGTGGAAGCATCTCAATTTTTATTTCCTTTTGTATGGCAATCACGAATGAGCTGACTCAGGGTCTGGCGTAGCGGTGATCGATGGACTTTCTGCGGGGTGCAACACTCCTCTTTAGGTGGCTTTCCTACAGTAATCTTGAATGCAGGGTGGGGTATAAATACGGCGACAAAATATTTTCGGTGCTTCAAATTTTTCCATCGGAGTTTGATATAAACAACAAAAACATTTATACATATAATCACCAATCAGGAATTTACAATCGAATATCACTCGATATGGCCTCCTTCAAATTTATACTTCCTTGAGCCGAGCTGGATACGCTTCGACTGCTGTCTGGATGACATCCTGTCGAAGTGTGTTTTTTTGTGCAGGCCTTCTGCTCTAAGTCCGACCAAATCTATTCTGTAGTCTATTTGGTTAGAAATCAAAGGAACTAGCGGACCAGTCTTCTGCTGCTGTGAAGTCGGCAAAATAGTCATGACATCATTTTACTGGTACACCGTCTTGCTGGAAAATGCAATCGTTCTTGGAAGACCACTTGAACATGAGCTTCTTCGCAATATCCCCTAGTTAGTGACTGGCATCGATTCCAGTCCATTTCCACAAAAATCAATAAGGAACGCGTATTTGCGAATAGTCCTGCATGACCATCTCCGATGCAGGATGTGAACTTCGAGTGACTATTCCTCCTACTCTATCACTTTCTTGGATGTCATAAGGAGTACACGGNGATGAAGATCTCCAATGGCCACCGTTTGCTGTCCGCTCCAGAGTTTTTCTGCATTTTTTCACTCTGCTTTCCTTCTGAGCTTGCGAGATGTCTTTCTGGAATCTAAAAGAGTAGATTTGAAGCCTCTTGAGCCCTATTCTTCTCATCATTCGGCTAGAAGCTCCCAAATCCTCAGCTGTCTTCCTCATGCTTCTTGCGGGATTGTGGTGGATTCGGATCCTGGCCACTTTCATGAGCTAATCAGTGACTGCCGGAGCTGGACACCTCTGAAGAAAATCATGAAATGTGCCTCGTTTTAAAGTCCTATTAACAGTCCGACGATGCGTCGTGAAAATACGACTAATTCCGGCGAGAGTATGGCCGTCGGCGTGAAGGACGAGAATTGCAGCTCTGTCCGGATGAGGTAGGGCTATTCACCAATGAAGAAGTATCGAAGCGCGAAGCGGAGGAACTATATACATGAAAGACGGACTAGCTCTGTCCTATAATCAGGGACGCCGCTCACTGTTTTGTTATTGTCTTCTTTCCTAACAATTTTGCCAACGATTCATGCTCCACCCTGTATCAGCCCTCTTTTCATGCGTTCCTATGATGCTTTAAGGGTTCCCAAGTGAACTGTAATGAAACTCAAAAACTCCTTCGCCACCGAAGGTGGCGTCGTGCATCACCAGTCGCGTTTCACCGCATCGCATGGCCCTGAGTCATCTTCTGGCTCGCCGTTCTTTCTTGTTTTTGCAGATATGATTACGAGCTGGGTCAAACTCGAGCCAAGAACTACCTCAAAGCCTGGAAGGATTAGGATAGGGACCGCCTCTGAACGGGTGAATTTTGGCGCTCAAAGCGCTTATGTGGAGGTCATCATAAACAGCGAAAATCCTGTGGTGCCCTGTAAACCACTCGGAATATGCTCCAGGATGTGCTGCAACAATCGACGTTGGAGGTCTCAACATATGTCAACAGCTCTGTTGTAGAGCGATCCGAACGGGGATCGGATGTACGTCAATATCAGACGCCTTTCTAGATGTCTCTCTTAAGGCTTTCAGTTCAGGCAGACAGCGCCCTCAATAACACGGGCTCATTCTTTGTCCACAGTCTTCTGCGACTTTAGCTGTCAAACTGAATGTGAAACCTTCCGTCTGCCAACTACCGTGGATGCGGAGAGGAGTACGAGGACGGATCAATCTATTAGAACTGTTCTGTTGTAAGGCGATCCGAACGGGGATCGAAGGTGCGGGGCTATAAAATGATTATTTTCATCTGGATTTTCATGGCAGTCAATTCAGGTTGATGCCGTTCTCATCGACAGGGGCCCCTTCCTTGCCTTCAAGATTCTGCGATCTGGACAAATAGTTGTGGAAACTAATCGTAAAGCGTTCTTTCTACATTCACCATGGACAGGACTATGAGGACGGATCGGCCTATGAGGACAGTTCTGTAGAAAAGCGATCCGAACGGGGATCGAAGGTGCGAGACCATCAACCGATTTTTTGCCTGGATTCTTATGACTCTAATTCAGGTTGATTGTGTCCTCGTAGAACAGGGGCTTTTTCGTTTGTGGAGTTTGAAAATGGATTCGTTCAACCGAATTGTGAATAGTCCGTCTACCTGCCGTCAGGGCTTGTTCAGGACTACAAGGACGGGTCGACCTAACGGAACATTTCTGTTATAAGGCGATCCAAACGGGGATCGGAGGTACGCCATCATCAAACGCCTTTTTTGAAGTTACAGTAACGACTTTTGATTTAGGTTGACGCCGTCCTCATTGAGACCGACCCATTTCTTGTCTGGATCACTTTGCCATCTTATTGCGCACATGTCAAACCCAGGCGATAAAGTTTTCAAGCGACATTGATTCATATGGGACTACACGGGACCTGGGACTCGTTCGACGCGAAATCGTCTCGGTGCGGACGTCTATTTCATTGATNCTTTGAAGTTACAGTAATGACTTTTGATTAAGGTTGACGCCGTCCTCATTGAGACCGACCCATTTCTTGTCTGGATCACTTTGCCATCTTATTGCGCAGATGTCAAACCCAGGCGATAAAGTTTTCAAGCGACATTGATTCGTATGGGACTACACGGGACCTGGGACTCGTTCGCCGCGAAATCGTCTCGGTGCGGACGTCTATTTCATTGATGTGTTGACTGCTTCTTTTCCGGTAAATTTACATGTTCAGGTCCCGACAGTTCAGTCGAAAGCAGTCAGCAGCCACCTATCCTGCTAGTGGGTGATCCGATCGGGGATCAGGGGTATGCATTCGTTGTCATCTTCGGATGGGTCTATTTGCTCAAAACACATGATTTAGATAGGTTTGGCTGTCTACAAGACAGCTTTCGCCTACCTCATCTGAAGCGGTTTCTTGGAACCGCACGCTGCGCACGTTCGATCAACAGTACGACGATTGGATGGACGCCAACCGGATGTGGGGACATGGAGAAATCACCTCTGTCATACCGCGACAACATCAATTGGATGTGCACGTGACCCTCTGCACCGAGGAGGATCTATTGGGAAGGAATCGCTGGCGAAGGCAGCGACACGGATTACTCGTCTAAACCCAGCGGCCTATGGAAAAAGTGCGTTAACTTGATTTTTGTGCTTCTTTTCAGCCCTAATAGTCTATTCTTGCAGGGCGTTTCGTGGACAACAGGCGGACGCAGGAACCGTTAAAGGATTATTTTTGAGATTAGCAGGTGTGATTGTTTCAGTGTGGGCGTTAGGTCATTGTTAGGTTGTTTAGGGCTCTATTTTAATGTATCCTGTTTTTTAACTAACTAACTATGACTATAACTTATTTTTCATAGTTATTTGTTTCCTTAATAGTCATTAGGTATCTTTTGTGTAGTTAGTTATCTGTTGTCATTGTTTAGGGGGTCACTAATTACTCACTGATTAGCAGTACCCTGGTGGTCCTTCCTTAGCTCAGGTCTCTTGACATCAATTAACTACTGCAGTCAACATGTGCTCGGAAGGAAGATGGCGGCCAAATCCTTATCAAAAACTATAATCTTTCATATTTTCTCATCAAATCAAGGAGCAATGACAAGGGGACCGGTCAAGGGGGAGGGAGTGAAAGTAATGGGAGGGGGCAAGGAGAGGAGGGGCGGTGTCGGGGCACGTAGAAAGGGTTCCTATAGGGCAATTTTCTGCTACTTCACTCTTTGGATTTGTACAGTTAATCTTCCGGCTTTCTTTTAATAGTTCAAGTGTAAAGGGGAGGGGGTGCTAATCCACAGTGAGCTCTTACTTTTTTCATATGATCCTTTGTTTTTGTTCATGGAGACCAGGGTTCGTATTACCGGGTAAGGGCCACCGTGACTTTTGGTTCCCAAACACCTCTTGGAACTTTGGCTCTACTTGTAGGTGGGTGGCTGCTCTTTTCCTTCCGAGGTGCAACGTGATGGCGGCAGAATTTGACGGACTGAGGCAGTTGAGTGTGGGAACAACGACTAGGGAACTATTATATTTAGGGGGCTAGGTTAAACGATAGCTTAGTCTAGGTGCCCACACTAATCAATCACCCTGTGATACCCACCCTAAGTTTTCTCTGGGGATAGGGAAGGTGTTGAATCTTCCTAAGAATTTACCCCTTTCGAAATGAATCCCCACGCATTGTTTCCTGCCGATGGACTCGACTTACGAGGTCCTGGGGGAGGCATGCCTTGGAGTTCTGGGAACCTCCTTTGTATCACTCCCCATC